ATATTGAGACAAAAGTCATAGTTAATAATTAGTTAATTGTGAGAATTGGTCCCAAAATTAAAGTGTGACCTTAACTTAGGAATGTTTTTTTTTTGTAAAAATACTTAAAGATTATTCTTCCATGTGCTGCCAAATAAATAAAAGCTAGATTAAAATTAATCCAAAGGTAGGGAATTATGACCATGCATTTTTTTCTGTCTTGTTTTGCCGTGATTACAACATAAAAGCTGCTTTCTCAAGATCTTGACATATTTTCTCTCTCTATTTTTCTAGCTTGACTAACAAAAGCCATTTGAAGTGCATTATATAGTATACCTCTGCATCATGGCTGAGAGAATTCACTTCTACTTTGATCAGGGACTCAATCATGTTGAAATAGTTCTGTCTGTCAGTGATAGAGCACTTCTAAATAAGTGTGGGACACTTGAGAGGGAGGCTACAACTTTATCATAGACACTATAAAGACTCAGAAAATGTGGTCAATTTCATTGCCATCTACCTTGAGGGAACAGGACATCTGCATGGTTATAATATGTGACCCTGGACCACAAAACCAGTCTTAAGTCACTGGGGTATATTTGTAGCAATAGCCAAAAATACATTGTATGGGTCAAAATTATAAATTTTTCTTTTATGCCAAAAATCATTAGGACATTAAGTAAAGATCATGTTCCATGAAGATATTTGATAAATTTCCTACCGTAAATATATCAAAACGTCATTTTTGATTAGTAATATGTATTGCTAAGAACTTCATTACTTCATTTGGACAACTTTAAAGGCGATTTTCTCAATATTTAGATTTTTTTGCACCCTCAGATTCCAGATTTTCAAATAGTTGTATCTCGGCCAAATGCTGTCCTATCCTAACAAACCATACATCAATGGAAATCTTATTTATTCAGCTTTCAGTTGATGTATAAATCTCAATTTTCCCTTATGACTGGTTTTGTGGTCCAGGGTCACATATAGGCTAATATTTAACACATGACGATTAATTGGTTGGGTCTCATGAGAAAATTAAGATTAAATGAACACTAAAATGCTAAATATTTGTGTTACTGATGACAATTCTAGTTGTTTAATTTGTGATCGGTACCAAATTACATAAGGCCGTCACTAGTTAACATTGCCACATGTTAGCTTGTAACAGGGATTACCTACAACTTCTAGTTGCAGAACTGACATTTTACTTTGTACAATAATATCACATGTTGTTGCCTAATAGCTACCACAGTACACTCTCAGAAAGAAAGGTACAAAACTGTAGCTTTTAGGGTACAAGTGGCCGTCACTGGGGTGGTACCCTAAAGGGTACCGTTTTGTACCTCTACTTAGAGGTACAAAATTGTACCTTATAACTTTGTACCATTTAAGGGCCAATTTTGTATCCAAAGGAACGATTGTGCACATTGCAAATGTACAAAATTGTACCTTTCATCCTTGGGGAGGCTAAATAAATAAATAAATAATACTTCAGAAATTGGCTTACAGTTATGCAGTATTTTTACAAAGATAATTAATTACATCACACCTTAGTACAGCAAGTGTCAAAAAACAGATGTTCAGTGCACAGACAAACACATCAGACATTACTCAATAATAAACATACTCAGGGCTGTGCAGAGACCTTTGGAGGGGCAGGTGCTCAAAGTATAAAAGGGGCACATGGAGCACGGCTTTTAATAGGGCTGTGCTCCTTGCTGAGACATGTATTGAAACGGATGCTTCTGTATTGATAGCAGCAAATGCCGTGACGCAGTTTTGAAAAAGAAACACAGAACAGAAAAGACCATTTTAAGTTTAAAAGTTAAAGAATTTTTTCTTTGCACCTCTTAATTACTCTGGAATTAGAAACGGAATTATAGACTATTAGGCCTATTATTATTATAATTGAGTTTACAGGGTATGGTGGTTTTGCTGTTGTAAACACTACTGTTGTTGTAACACACGATTGCGAAAATATACGGTTTATGTGTGTTTTTCAAGTTATCTCCAGGTAATAAATAAACTTTATGAATAATGCAGTACTGATTGACATATAATTTAGTGGCCTATACGAACTATACATTTCCTGCCTTATTCTGTGATAAAAATGGGGAAAAGGTGCTCCTAGTAGTCTTTATAAACCGGTCATAAAATTGTCATTAGGAAAATGTTGAACAAAAATATTATAGCCCCTTGCTGCAGCTAACCTTACTTCCACAGGCTACAAACAGCAATATAAACAACAGCTGTGCATGCTCTCTTCACGAAGTTCTTGTATAATAATAATAATTTGATAATATAAGTATACAAGCAGACCGCTCCGCTGAGAACTCCACTTACGGGCAGCCGCGGACGTTATGAAGGCATGATGACTGATGAGATCGTCAGGTGAAAGGTCATCAGAATCAGAATCAGAAGAGCTTTATTACCAAGTATGTTTACACACAAGGAATTTGACTTGACGACAGGAGCTTCCAGTGTAGAAGAAAGTACAAACATAGTGCAGACATACATGATAGTGCAGACATACATAGGAATAACACAGTAGGGATGTAATATAACACTAATATAATAAAAAAAGAAAAATTGAATAATGTACTATATACAGAAATAGAAGTATAGGAAAAAAATGTAATTGTTTAGATAAATGTACATATATGTTTATTAGTGTGCAGATATGTTATTTACAAAGTGTGCAGTTTAATATAAATATACTATGTTAGTTGTGATGGACGATGTATAATTATGAAAGATTAATTGTTCAGACTGAATATAGCTTGTGGGAAAAAAACTGTTCTTGTGCCTGACTGTTCTGGTGGTCAGTGCTCTGTAGCGCCGACCAGAAGGCAACAGTGGGTTGCAGTCATCATCAGTCATCATCATGTGGATAATTTTATTTACGACTAAATTATAATTCATTCATTTTACTAATAGTTAGATTGGGCAGGCCTTCACAAAATGGCGTTTAATTACAAAAAAAAAAAAATTGCCTTGACAAAAGGGCACTTTGGGCATCAAGGGGAAAGGGGAAGGTGCTCATCCATCGCACCCCCCTCTGCACGTGCCTGAACATACCCATAAGCATAAAGCAGTCATTTAAAACAATAAAACCTTTAATAGGAGTACCTACAAGAAATTGTCTAAGGTGGGCGATATACCAGTAGACATGATTAACCGGAAGAAATTTGTCAACCAGTAGATATTTTGGACTCTCTATTGGTGGTACACGCTCATGTTTCTGTGCTCCGGTTTTTTTTTTTTTTTCAGGCTATATTAGTTTTTTTGTGATACTGACACTGGTGACAAGAATTAGGAAATAAAATTCATGAAATAAAATTACTCATATCGTGATATAAGATTTTGGTCATATCGCCCACCCCTATTTTATACTATACAGCAGTGCTTCTCAAAGTCCATACTCCGGTCCGGACATGGACCCGGAGGGAATTCAGTCCGGACCGCCTCCATTTCGTATTTCAAGAACACTAATTATTTCCTACTTTGATAAACGCATGTTAAACTGAGATGGTCCGAAATGAAAGCGAAGGCGAGATATTGAAACTTTTCCTTCATGACATTTGTTGTCATGACATCCAGTGAGCATATGACGTTTGACATAATCGGACGACATTTCATCGCTAATATGAGTACTGTTTTATTTATTTATTTATTTTTGTTATCACTTATATTATGGACATTTGACTTATAGCAGTGTCCAGTGTTTCCCATACATTGAATTATTTGTGGCGGCCCGTCACAGAATAAAGGATTCTACTTCGTTGAATAAACTGAGCACTGCACGTTTCAAAATTAAAATGCAGCGCGGGTGTTTTTATATGAATGTATAATTGAAAAGAACCGACCGTCTTAAGAAAAGCTTTGCTGTCATTTTCATTTCGTCTTTCCTAGCGTTTTGTATTTGATTGCAGCCGTTACCGGGGAAACCGCTATATCTCCGCTCCAACAGCACCTCCAGCTGGCAGAGAATGAATTTGCATTTGCAAGTCTGTGGGAAACACTGGTGTCTGTCAGCAAACATAAACAAAAAGCATGCTTCAGAACTGTTTTGAGAAGGTGCTTTGAGCCATGTATTATTACTATGAATTAGGCTACTACTACGACTACTACTATTACCATCTTGTGCCCTGCAATAATCATTTACTCAAACTCGCTTTTATGAGATCACCAAACATATCGGCCAAAAAAACCAGCATCATATATCGGCCATCGGCTGCCCTGATTTATAAATATCGGCATCGGCCAGAGAAAAACCCTTATTGGGTTGACCTCTATTGCTGACACTTAAATTAATTGTTTTGCCACTTTTGCACTTTATTTTTTCAAAAAATTAATGTTTATTTGTTATGCATGTTATGTATGTTTATTAAAAACAAGTTTTGTAATAACCAATTGTTCCGTTCCGGATCTTTGACACTGATGAAAATTCAGATTTGGACCTTTGAATGTAGACTTTGAGAACCCCTGCTGTACAGTAATTACAAATTCAGTTGGACAAATACAAATAAAAATTTACAGTTTAACATTAAACCTTATTAAATAGGCTACATCAAGTACAGCACATTTTGAGGTTTACGGTATAAAGCTGTTTGTCTTCAGCAAGAATACCTAGTGCTTATAAATAACTTTGTAGGTATCTAATGCCTGATAATCATCCTCCTCACCTGGAGAGAGTACAGTTCATTATTCATTCTCACATTGCACACAGAAATAATCAAACATAAAGCAACAGTTTCATTATGACATTCTTCTTTAACTTCCACAAGCAGAGGTAGAGAATCATTAATCACAGTTTATGGTAACACAGTATGTTTATGCATTTGGTAAACATGACATCTAAAGGTTTCATAATTTGAAAATGTTTTCTGAGAGTCATTCAGACCACATGTTATTGAAAAATGTGCCTCATAAGCATGAATAGGACCAATGTGCTGCATTCATTGGACAATCATGAACATTCTCCAAGAGCATTTAGTGAAACAGAAAATGCAGGGCATTTTTTCAGGTGTTAATGTAAGAGATTGATTACTCTTAACTGCGGTAGGTAGAGGGTTGTCACCATCCACAGTAAGTTCTTCAGTCACTGGCGTCATGTACTTAAACTTGGTGAAGATGGTTTGCTCTAAATGAGAAAGCACAAATCAGATTTTATCTGTCAAATTTTCTCAGCAGATGATTTTACTGATGGAGAAAAATACTCTACATACATAAAGTGTAAGATAATTATTACATCATACAATTTGTATGTGGGCACATTAAATACATTAAGAATTATAAAAAAACATTTATCACAGAAATACAAGTCAGACAGAGAACAATATGCTCACCTTCCCAAGTACAATGCAGTGTTCGAGCTTCTCTCTGAACAAGGCTGGCAGCATGAGAAGTGCTGCTTTTAAAACAATTCCTGAAACACAAAACAAGACATGACATACAAATAAATATGCAGAAATCCATCCAAGGATAAAATTGGATAGGCTTAATAAAGAGGACAAAGTTGAAGAGTCAATTACCAAGATGGTCTTCACTGAGAGATTCCTCTCTAGCCTCTTTGTGCAGCGTTGATAGAGATGTCCCTCAAACAAGCCGTAGCACACTGGACTCAATGTTTTTTGAAAGTGGTGGCATAGATTAACAGATTAATACAGGAACCCAATTTCTTGATGAAGCTGCAAATAGTTAAGACAAACACAAGCATAAGTAAATCAGAAGATTTTTTACAGTTTCAGTGTCCAGAGTGTAATTTTAGAATTATAATTCTACACTAACCTCTGATGGACTCTTCAAGAATGGATATTTGTTGACAGCATCTTCAACAGTCATCTTACTAGTAATCTTCTTTCACCTACAGGCAAAGACCTTCTTTATTCACTCTTCAACAAAGCGAGTATCTGGCTGTGTCCTTCTGTACTGGTCTTGCAGGACTTTTACCTGTCCCATTATTGATGTAACATTCTCTCCAACAACATCAATATCCTTGTGCACAGACAAACACAAAAACAATCAGACAGCAAGGTATTTCTAATTTCTAAGCATGAAAATAATGAAAAGGTTTGTAATAATGATAAATTTGAGAACAATACACTGGTTACATGTAGCACTGTAAAAAAAAAAGATAAAAATATGCTCTCACCAAAGGTCTTGTAATCTTGTAGTTTTTTCCTTCTTCAACAACCTCAAATTTAAACTTGCGTGTCAGAGACATGCACCATGTGTGCTATTTAGAATAACATTTGGGCAACAAACAAACAAACAAAAAAATTACACAAAATAAACTGCATGAACAAAACCAAGAGTAGGACATTATAAGAAACCCGTCTACTTACATATCCATGTCTTTTAAAAAAGGGTACCTCAGAGCAGGGGCGTAGCCATCATTTCAGAAGTGAGGGGGACAGAAATGTTTTATATATATATATATATATATATACAAAGAGAAAGTAATAATTAGCCATTGCAATGTCACATGTACATAAAATAGTACAAATAGTTATTAATACTGAAAAGACAAATTATTACATTAACAATGACACTAACTTCAACATTTTACCAAGCAAGTTTTACTTGAAATATGTGCCCTACCCTTTTCTTGATCATTTTAGCGTTAACCTTGATGAATGACTATAGTGTAAACATAAATAGCGATGCATAATTCCATATTAGAAGCCCAAATTACCATCAGTGAAGTAACAGAACACAAATATGTCATCAAGTGTTTTTTTAACAAATGCATATTCGCTTGCGTGCAGTCCTTTTACTTTATTAATCATTTGCTTGCCGTTTGATGGATCAATTTAACACAAAATGGACGTGTATAACGTTAATCTGAGTGAGAGCACTGAGTAAAATTTGTGCAGCCCTAAACGTCGTCACACTCGCAACGGCGGTTTAAAAAAAGTCTCAAAATATAAAACGTTATATAATCACTAATTACAATGGTAAACATTTAAAATATATGCAGTGTTGGCGCTAGTTATTAAAGCAATACAACATGAGAGGCTGTGTAAATATAACGGGGACATTCTAAAACACTTAACGTGAAAAACGCTTAAGGTACATAAACAACGACCAGGGAAACCCAAATTTTTGTCAAACCTTACTTGTAATAAACACTAACTACTGTCAAAAGAAGGAGCCCTTACTCCACAGATAAAGTGAATAATATCACTTTAAGCATTTTCTCCCCCATAGAAGTCCATTATAAGGAAACAGCTTAACGTGGTTTATCGTACCTTAAAGCGTCATGAAACCCCAGACTACTTTTTCTGAGATTTTAGCAGAGGTGTTTGTGTTGCATATCATAGAAGACAATGTTAGCATCCGATAATTTTAACTGTTGGAGAAAACTCGTTAATTTAAAGCTTTTTTGCGCTATTTTCATCTTCCAGGTTTAAAATCTACATTGTGTTGACGTCACAATTTGTGACGTGGCAATGGACTAATAGTACATCGATGACACGTCAGTGTCTATTAAATTATTCATGAGACTGCATGTTCTTATCCTATGAGAAGACGCTTCGCTTAATTATTAACAACAGCATGTGTTGATTTGCTATGACAGACGTTTCAGAGTCTGTGAGATGACATCACGCACAATAACTGAGAGAAACATTCATGGATCAAAGAAGAGTGTTTGTTTTTGCTTTGTAATAAGAGATAGGCACAAATGCAATTCATTCACTTGGTGAGCATAACCGTTTTTACAGCTCTGTGACACAACCAGTCAAAAGGCTTATATAAACGCTACAGAATAAGCCTTAAAAGTTCTCAGAGGTGCAACAGCGCGTTCATATATATATGTTTTCGATGCAGAGTGCAAATGGCTGTGCATTTATTTGTGTTTTTAACTGGATGGGAGCGAAATGAAACTGTCAGAACGCTTTGTGTGTTGTCTGTCTCCCCTCTTCCCCCTCCTTCGCTCCGCTGCGCACCACGCCCACTTTTTTAGCATTTTTTTAAAACTGTGGTGAGAACTAACCAGTGCTGAAACGGTGGTTTCATGACCCTTTAACAACGACCGGGGAAAACCAAATTTCTGTCAAATTTTACTTATAATAAACACTTGCTACTGTCAAAAGAACGAGCTCTTATTCAGCGTATAAAGTGAATAATATCACGTTAAGCGTTCTCCCCCATCTCCACAAATCAATAAACTTGACAATAAACGCTTTGTTGTCCCATTGTTTGGGGGCGTTGACCCTGTTCGCATGGCTCGCGTAGATCATTACCTTATGAATAGCGATCTGCGCGAGGGCGTGATCATTAGAGATAATGAGCTGAGACAGGAGAAACCTGTACCTGTCTTTACTTTCATGCTTATTACAATATTAAACTGAACAAAATTACAATGCTCTCAGTTCGTCGATGAGTCCACGTTAAGCTGTTTCCTTATAATGGACTTCAATGGGGGAGAACGCTTAACATGATATTATTCATGTTATACTCTGAATAAGAAGAGCTCGTTCTTTTGACAGCAGAAAGTGTTTATTATAAGTAAAATTTGACAGAAATTTGGTTTTCCCCGGTTGTTGTTAAGGTACGTTAAACCACGTTAAAGGGGTCATATGATGCGATTGCAAGTTTTCCTTTCTCTTTGAAGTGTTAAATGCCGTAGAGACACTGTGTTTCGTTGTGAAAGCGAAACTACTTTGTTTGGCCTTCCAAAAGAGGACGATATCCGCTTCGTCATGCCTTGAGCTGATCCGTGCTGGTCACTGAGGAAATACATCAACTTCGCATGGTGGATCGCCAGATCTGCTTTCACCGTGGACGAAGCGGAGTCTAGCCCGGGGTCGTCACATGTGGTTGCCGCAAGCCCACCGGCCGCCGCTCACTCAAGCCGGCCTCCGCTCACTCTAGCCCGCCG